CCTGATTTAAATGCAATAAGTTCCTAGAGTTTGATGATCTCAGCCCAGTCATGAATGAAATGTAGTTTTCCCTCAGTTTGACATCGCCTATCATTGCAGGGTACATTTGTGTATACACATCATAAAGATAGACTGCTGGGGAAAGTGCTGTTAGTGAGCAGCTCATGAAGGCTGGCACGACACCCGAGGGGGTGGGTGGCCAACACCACGCCCGGCTACCTTTGTCTCCCCAGTGGTGATGTTTACGCACCACACCAGGTACTCATTTTTAGGCTGAGTGGACCTAGGGGAGGCCCAGGACCAGTTCAGATAATCGTCACTGTACACACCGATATATACACGCACACACAGATATGTGCTGTGGTGAGTGTCTCGGGGTGGAGAGTTGGCGCATTGCCGAGTGCACTATGAACTAAATTTGATTCCCAACCACGGCTGACATTGCTTGGAAGTAATATTTGAAGCGGTTCCTGTTCCACTCGTTTCACCAAGCTGCACTGACCACTGTGATGAAGCATGGTTGTACAACCCCCATCTCCGACGTGGTGTGTGGAGGGAGGCCTTCATCCGGCAGTGAAGTAACATCTGTGCAAAAGAGCTTCATAGCTCATCGGAAAAATATTCTGACAAAAAGGGATGTTAATTCTTCTTCTTTATTACCAGAATAGTTGATGATTGACATGCGCTGACACATACTTAAACAACAACAAAAACAATGAAAGGCATTGTCTTGTGGCTGCTGTAAGATGCCTTTTGAAGAGATATGAAATAATGTCGTTCTGAGCGGTGCCTTGATTCGTTCATCAATATGATGAAGCTGTTCCTCTAGGTGATTTAACTGCTTTATGCTTTGATGGTGGGGGGGTACCTATGTTGTGATGGTTGCTCATTTACTTGTCTGCAAGTAGGTATATAACGCAGGCAACCCCCTCTGTGCAATGCATCAGCCACACTTCCATAGCTACGAATTATAGGCACACATACCCTCCACACTTGGCATTAACACATTCCTGCGAAGGGAGCTGGAAGGAACGTTGGGTTGCTCGGTCAATGGCCTGCAGGGTCAACGGCGGCGTGGTGTATTCCGCAAATATGCCTGACTGAGGGCGGGCACAAGCCGGCGTGAGTAGGTTAAACGTTGAGTTTTATAAGGGCACTACGGGGTGACCAGCCCCTCCCCACCCAGCCCCTCCCCACCGTCCCCACCCAGGCCCTCCCCTCCTTCCCCTCCCCACCCAGCCCCACCCAGCCCCACCCTCCCCACCCAGCCCCTCCCCTCTCTCCCCTCCCAGCCCCTCCCTGCACGACGGGCGGACACAATAATCCCCTGTGGGCTGGTGGAACCAGTGGGTTCCTACCAGTATAATTAATTAATCACTCCTTGTAAATGCCAAAGTTACATTAGGGCACGTGTTCATTTTCACCACGGACAGCTTCTAACCACAATTCTTACAAACACGACCATCTCCCCAACCGACTAGTGTCTCACCATCTCCACAACAGGTGGTTCACTTTCCATCTATTGCTTGAATAAGCCATCACAGATTGCCAAGGCTTTAAGAAGTACAAAACAAAATGTATTTCTTGACCGGGCTGAAGCCATCAAACTCACCGATTGAGATCTCAATTTATTCTTGGGTGGCTGGAAACTAAGTTTGAACTCAGAGTCTTAGCATTTCTGGCAGGATTCTTTTTTGTTACGACAGGCAGTAGCATCAACCCTTCTGAGACACTAGGACAACTTATAATATAAACTTGTGAACATGCTAATTGGGAAGTAGCTGGTCGTTCAACCGTGCAGACATTTACTCTTAGCCGTAGGATCATTCCATGTCTATTCCATGCCTGTTGCCCCTTGACCTTTGAACCACAAGATTGTCTTTGGAAGCCAGTGCATGCACTTCACCTCTTTGAGGTTCTATACACACGTTGCCTCAACACGACAGTTAAATTGCTTAGGGCAGCAACAACCGCAGTAGAAGGTTGAGTAATTGTGTTCATTAGGGAAGGTCACTTCGTCAAATATTTGTGTGCTCTGAAACTGCATTGAAACGACTTGAGAGGAGGTGGGCTGTAACATTCCTGTACAAGTGATGGGTGGAGCAGTGGCACAGTGGTTGGTGCACCACGTTGTGAACATGACAACCAGAGTTAATTTCCTGGATATGGCTAACCTTATTTGTGAACAATATCTGAACTGAACAGTATGGTGAAGTATGGTAAAACACCCCCCATGGCCGATACAGCTTGGGGAAGCCTACATCCGGCAGTGGATTGATAAAAGTGTAGATTTTTTTATTGGATGTAGCTATCCATGTAAATATATCATGAGTAAGTTTCAAAATGACAATTGATCAGGTTAGTTAATGGTCATAGTGTGACCTACAGGTCTATGGACGAAAATTAACAATTGTATGGTGTTCAGATTAAAGTCTTTGTGTTTTAAGCTGGATGGCAGCAAGCACAATACACACTTTAAAATATGGTTTAACATTTGGGCTTCGCCCACAGTGTTGGCAAGCAATTCAAAGATAAGTTAGAAACCCTTGAATAGAAGTCCATTATTTCATCCATAAACAAACACTTCTGGATATGGTGGTTAAGTCAGTTTTGGCATGAACTTAACTAAATTCTTTCCAAATATAAACCTAAAGTGAGTACAGTAAATGTATATATATGAATAGGTTGTTATTGCTCGAATTACATTGTGTGCGTGTGTGATACGAAAAGCAGACAACCCAATCAACTGCCCCATCCAACTCGCCCACACAAGTTCGTCACACTCATCTCCACCCCAAACCTCATCCCATATACACCACACCTCCCATAAACACCACACATCTCCCACGAACACGACAGACCTCACAATACCCAAACGCCTCCACGTATAAGCGCATCACGTTTTGTCCCTCTCGTAGTTATTTGTATTATCTATTTTGCATGTGATTAGGCCAACCTGCCCTAGAGACTCTGCCTCTCATCCCTATCTAAATGCATGCTGTACTGGCTGAATGCTTTGTTTAATACATTTTTATTGCAATGTGTTTTGTCTTCTTTGGTATTTTTTAAAATATTTATCGATGCTGACAACCGTTAATACCTTGGCCTCCACAGCAGAAACGCAATGTGTCTGCATTGTTGCGTCCTTGAAGCCGTGACTCTTTCGATGGTCCAGTTGCGTGCACATTCACCACGTCCGTTATGCTCGTTTGCTTTCTGTTCTTAAATTTAACCCCAGGCGGACGGAGTGGCTCACTTTACTGATGCTGATATGCGAATGCCCAAACTCACAGCACTGAGCTGCCACCACTGAGATCTCATGACTTAGAATCCCAGACTCGCATTCATCCCTGATACAATCACGTTCCCAATGTTTATGATCGCAGACCAATCACTAGCGTTTGTTGCGTTTTGATGAGATACAGCCCAGCTCTGAGGGGTTACTTGACAAACGTGTGCTAAGTGAACCGGGAACTCGTTGACATATCTCGAGAGAGAATTATGCCTCTGAAGGGGAGACCTTTCAGAGATATCTGTCAAAGACCTTCAATATATTAGATAGCAAAATCGTGCTCTGCTGTATTTCAATGGTGGGGGGTGGGAGGGGGGGTGGCTAAAATAAAAATAAAAAGATCTTAAAATATTTAGCAGTAATACTTTCTGATTTTGTAATAGGTGAAATTGAACAGGTGTTGATGTGTGCAGGACACAGTTTGTCACACTAAATCATGTGCCACAATTGTCCAATAACTGATTTGCATATTTCTTTAAATGTGTCGGTTGTTTACAAACTATGGCTTTTCACATTTTCGAACTGGCACAATTTTCAAGCTAGCTCATTTACGTTTGTATATTTTAACAAGCAAGAAATTTTGTTAGAATTCACACATTAGTAATAACCACATTAATGGACATTTCCCACAAACATGTTAGGTCAGTTATGGCAGAAACACTTGCTGCACATACTGTTATCTTGTCAAAGTATTTGTGTTTTTTATGTTCAAAAAAGCTGTATCGACTCAATCGTAATTGTTTTATGAATATAATGAAATGAAGCTATGTGTACCGTCACTTTGCTGTAACTGACATAACATGTTTGTGGAATTGCCATAAACGTCAAATCTAACTTGTTAAGCTTTATATTCATAATGCATTCCAGTAAGCTCCTTGATATAACAATTTGGGCTACATTCACTAGTAAGGATATCAAGCAGATGAAACCTTTTGCAGGCAATTTTATACTTTTTCCGCACTTCGTGCACTTGAAAACACAAACTGTGCTATCTGCAGTAACTTTTGCTCTTCTCAAAACTAGATCATTATTGTATGTTAGGATGACACAGTACGATGCAACGTTTGGTATAGCAATTGCACTTAAATGAATGGTACATTAAACGTTCTTACGTACCTGTAGTTAACAGGGCCTCTCATGCAAAAGTGGTTTCAAATTTAATGGGACTGTCAACTACTTAACGGGCACTGATTTGACTTCACAATGTGAGCATTTGAATTTAGCCCAATGCGATGTATGTGATCATAGGCCTGTGCCCACTTGTTTTTTTCACACCTCCATTCACCAGCTATTTGTTGTACGTGCTTGTCCATGCATATGTGTGGCGTGCTCATGCACACATACTGCCTCTGTGCTTTTGTGAGTTGACGCATTCGTAAATTATTGCACATCTGTTTACTTCTGCGCGTGTTTGTTCGATGTGCTGCATCTTCACATCTGCTCGTGTGCATACACTTGTGTGTGTGCTTGGTTGTGTGTGCGCGTATAAGTGTGGATGCATGTTTGGATGCACGTGTGCCCTTGTATGTGTATGTGTGTGCACGCTCATGTGGAAGCGCATGCTTCTTCACAGTTTGCATTGTGCTCATGTGTTTCTGTGCTCGTGTATGCGCACTTGATTGTTTATACGCTTGTTTTTAGGCGCGTACTGTTGCTTACGTTAATGTGTGTGTGTGTGTACCTGCTCGCCCACCCACCCACCCGGTAGAGGAACCTGAGACACGGGACGCCTGGTGGGCCGAGATCCGGCAAGAGATTAAGTCTCACGCCAAGGCCCTAGGCTGTCACGCTGTAGTGGGGTACAGCGAATGTACCAGCATATGGTGAGTGTTTATGAGCTGATTGTCGCCAACCATGACAGACAAATCTGAGCCCAAATATGCTGTGTGTGCTTCTGTGTTCGTGTCTCTTCGATGGTGGATTAGAACCAGCAACATTCGGAAAATATAGGTTTCAAACAGTTGAGCTTTGTATTGTAGAAAATGTCAAACCAGGTTCTGGCAAGTCGTGGAGTTGATGGTTTAAGAAAGGTCACCAGTTTGTCATAATATGCATTTGGTTTTCGAAAGGTCATCACAGCCAATAAATATTGTTTATGCCACCAAATGTCAATATTGTTGTATTCATTATGGTGGATCTTGCAACTATTACATGGACCACACCCTAACTTCAGGGTCTGCTAGGACTTACTGAGCAATGGACATAATTAATGAATTCATTCATTACTTTTCGCAGAAACTTTGTCAATCCGCTACAGTGTCGGTCGTTGGGATTTGCTGATAATACTTTACCATTGTTAGTTGCTGAAAGCGTGGGCAACTGAGACCGCTTTCGATATCACTCGCCACTCGTGTGATATCGAAAGCGGTCTCAGGTCGATGGGTTCATAGCGCAGTGGTTCCCGCAGCGCGCGAACCACTGGGCCACTGCTCTGCTCCCAGCGGAATCCCAGTGCCATTATAATACAGTATTGAGAGGAAACTCACTTGACGGATTTACTAACCCAACTAAATACCTGCGTAACCATGTCTTTTGTAAATGAGGCAAAGCGGAATCCCAGTGCCGTTATATTACAGAGAGGAAACTCACTTGACGGATTTACTAACCCAACTAAATACTTGCGTAACCATGGTCTGTTGTAAATGAGGCAATGCGTCACAGCAGCAGTCTTCCACGTAACACTGCGTGTGTGTGTGTCTGTGCGCGTTCCCGTGCAGCGAGGAGGTGTGCATCCTGTCAGCGTGCGGCACTGCGGCCGTACTCAGCCCCCGGCTGGTACAGGACAATGGGGGCCGCGCACCGCCGGCACTGGGGGCCGCCACCGCCGTGCCCCCCGCAGAGGCGGCGCGCCTCTCGTGGCAGGCTGGCATGGGCGCCAACGACGGGCGGAGGGACGTGGAGCACCACTCTCGGCAAACCAGCCGCGATGGCGCCGCCACCCTGCATGGGTAATGGAGAATCTTAGCTGCTACGCGGGTAGTGGGCGGGTTCGTCAGAGGAGTAGGTCGGGCCAAAGTGAAATACCCAACTGGTTGGTGCAGTGGTTGGAGTGAATGGACTTGTGTTCAGTATTGTTGCGTTTTAGGTCGACTCAACACTCTGTAGTAAATTGAGTAGCATTTTATCGGATGTCAGCAGTGGTCGACATCAGCATTCAAGCGCCAGTGCCTATTTTGCTTATGCACGTACATGCGTGCACGTTTACTTGTCCGAGCCGCGCCATTGTACGGATGGTTTTACATTGGCAATTGCCGAGCCAAGTCGAAAGTAGACCATGAAACTCTGGCCCTCATGAGACATGAAGGCAGGGCCGGGAGCGAGTTTAAGCGACTCATTCAGTGCGGCACGGGGTCTGCTTCTGCAGAATTTTTGTGATTTAAAGTTTGCACGCGCTGCGACCGTGTGTGTATGCCGTGGGGAGCGGTAGTGTAGCGTTTAGCGCGCTGCGCTACGAACCTGGCAACCCGGGTGTGATTTCTGCTCACGGCCAACACCGGTGACGATTATCTGAATCGGTCCTGGGCCTCCCCTAGGTCGACTCCCCCTCAAATGAGTACCTGGTGTGATGTGTGAGCATCGCCACTCGGGAGACAATGGCGGCCGGGCTTGGTGCTGGCCACCCACCCCCTGGTGTGTTGTGCCGTCCTTTATAGGTGCTCGCTAACAGCACTTGCCCCAACAGTTTGTTAAGGCTAGACGGGGGATCTTCTGTGTATGCCGTGTCCTCCTTTCGCAGCCCGGACGAGTCGAGCTGCAGCTTCTGCCACGTGCCGTACGACGAGCTGAACCTGCCGTTCCCAACGCAGCTGGGGCCGTGTGGCTGCTGCAAGCGCCACAAAGTGCCCGACTTCCTCTTCACCACTGTGGACCCCCCCTCTGAGCTGCCCATAATTGGCAAGGGCTGTCTTGTGCAGGCCAGGTGAGCACTGACCGCGACTGCCGGTAGTGGAGGTGTAAAGGTGGAGTCCTGCAAGTACTTGCTGCACTGCTGGTGGAAGAGCCTCCACTAAAGGAAAATCTAGAGGCCCCCCGACAGGGTTTTTGGCCAACTTTTCCACACCGGCCTACCGATCGACTAGCTGCGGTGTGCCTATTTTTGCTGCCAGATGGACACAGTCTGGGGGAATTTATAAATGTTGTTCCATTGCTTCCACTGCGGCTTCAAACAGGACCATTGGTGAGGGCTTGTATTGTCATTGATGGTTATTTTATATCTTGACTAGCTTTACTTACCCGGCTTCGCCCGAGACTTGGATTCTTGTCTTGGATTAATACACGGCCTACGCGGAGGGTGGTGGGGGGATGCGTGACGTCAGCAGGCACACTGCGTGACGCTGCCGCATGCGGGTGACGTCACAGATGTGACGTCACCGCTCACTTGCCGTGCAATATATTATATTCATTATTGCGCCCCCCCCCCCAAATACAAGCGTCTATTTTTATACTTTTTGCATTGTGTACAGTCTGGAAGCTACCCATATGCCAAATATCAAGTTTGTTGCATGTTGGGAAGTATGCTAAACATTTCGAACAGACACACATATTCACAAATTTCCCTTTTATATATCTTGATGATAATGATTAGATGAATTTACTGTTGCTAGAAGTAATCATGAGTTTGATATTGATAATGGTTACGATCTTCATGATTCTTTTGATGATCAACACGTATGACGATTCTCAGAGCAATTTGACCCGCTTTCTTTATTTCATTATTTCATTCATATTCTGCAACATGGGTAGAAAACATTAATGAGTTGTAGACATTTTTACTGTCCAGAAAGTAAGTGCGCTTGGGCAGGACACATCGCTAAGAAGGTATGATGGTCGAAGATCAAGAATAACGGAAAAACACACCCAAGAGTATTTTCACCTTGGAGATGGAGCGATGAATTCATCTTGTCTGCAGGTGCTGGATAGATTGCGACATCGCAGGACCGTGAGAGTTTGCAGCAACTCAGGGAGACCTCCATCCAGCTGTTATTTGATCGCGACTGCTCGTGGTGGTGATGATGATGATGATGATGGAAATTCTGGTAAAGCTACCGATGATGACAGTGATGGTGATGGTGTTACCCGGCCAGGCTGTGCCGTCAGAAAAAGAAGGCGCAAGGCGAGGTGAATGCAACGAGCATCAGCAACCTGCTGCCCTTCATGGAGTACGAGCTGCACACGCAGCTCATGAACAAGCTGAAGCTGCGCGGCATGAACGCTCTGTTCGGCCTGTGTGTGAGCGTCTCCATCGGGGAGACCATGCTGGTCGGCATTGCCGTAAGTCGATTACCCCTCAATCCTCTTGAATGAACAGTTGTCGTTTTAAATGGGTATTTTACCTTCATCAAATTGATTGGCAGTGGAGCAGGTTCTCAGTGGCTAGCACGCTGCTTTATGAACCCGACGATCCGAGTTCCAGTCCTGGCTAACATCAGCGGTGAGCTATAATCTGAACCTGTCCTGCCTTCACTCTTTACCAACCCACACTGACCAAGGTGGTGAAGTTTTATAAATAAATAAAAACATGACGGATGCCATGGAGAGGCCTTCATCCAGCATTTGATTGACAAAGGGCTGTAAACTATATTTATTTTCGGTACCTTTTTAAAGCACTTCAGCATATATATGGTGTTTACAAAAGCCACGATACGTTATTATGTGAAAGCTTTACTGTATGGTTGTCGAGTTTTCGCCATGTGCCCATCCGACTCGCTGTGTGTGTGCGCGTGCGCGCGTGCAGTCGGCCACGGCTGTGTTTGTGGCAGCGCTGCCGCCTCCTGGTGGCCTCCATGTGGCAGGGAAGAGCCCAGAGCCCGGGCTCGACGGCTACGTGAGTGGCGTGCAGAAGAGGATCAACGAGGTCATCGCCCGAAACAAGGAGCTCTACGAGATCAAAACACCTGTGAGCGACTCCCCGTGCACGTCCCCTCCCACCCGCCGCGCCTGTATGAGAAGTGACGATTGCGTCTATGCATCAGCCTCGTGATTGTCATTTAGCTATTTGTTGTGTCTTATTCCCAAACTTACATAACGATTGTGCTATCGGTGAAGCATCATCACGGTCTGGCTCTCTCTGGTCATAGGTGGAGATGGAGGATCCCCCTGACTGGCCGATGCTGGAGGTTCGAAGGTATCGCGTCTTCCGCTCGCAGTCGGAGAGCTCGGATGAAACGTTGGACCTCGACTTGTCCCATGGCAAGAAGGATGCCTTCGTGCTCGAGGTGATAGCGCCATCCTCACGGCAAACGCCACCAACGCGGTGTTGGCGGACATCCTCTCTGGCTTGCTCGCTCCATTTGCTGCGAGCACTAACACTCGTATCATCCGTCGGCACTCGTCTCTGCAAGTGACGTGTTCTGTCTACTTATCTTAACAGTCAAAATGATGTCTTTAACCCGCGTATATGCCATGTATTCAATATGTTTCTCTTTTTGTTTCTCAATGTATTTCCAAGCTTATATCACTCCATGCTTCTTTGCGCACCGATCGTTTTTTGTTCCATTCTTCAATGCCCATGTTTTTGTTCCATACGTCATAGCAGGCAATATGCAGAGTAGCCCTGATATCAAAAACTAAGACATCCGTGTCATTCATGTCAGTAGCACAGTATTCCCTGGCGTGCCAAATAACTTGCAATTAGCGTTGTTCCATGCCAGCAGGTTTATCTCACGAGCCTCACATTCTTGTGTGTCCCCACGTCCATGTGCCGCAGATCGACGACGCAGATGCGGAAGAGGACATACAGGCACTGCTCACCGACACCCCCACGCCGCTTGGTACAGCTTGCTGGGCGGTGGGAGCATGGCATCTTAAATTGGCAGGGGTGACAATAACATTGCCGTTTTGGGACACGTGTGCATGTTTGAGGTAGAAGAGGTCACCAAGACGGGCTTTTGAGTGACACCAGGAGGTCTGTGATCAAGGCAAAGGCCTAAAGTCAGATCATAGGAACACCAAAAGGGCAGACCATGGATGTCGGATATCCACTCTGAAATTGTTACGGGATCTGGTTGCATAAATTCAATTTACCTTCATGGCTTGTCAGCCTTTAATCCTGAAATAATCCTGAAAATTGTACAGCTATTATCATGGCTCATTGTTTTGTATAATATCAAAATGTTTCCAGTGTTCTATATGATGAATATTTTATCAACTGCCTGTGCTTCAGGTTTTTACATCTGTAATACGGAGACCGTTCCAGGTGTCATTTCTCTCACATCTGACCTGCAGGTGAGTGGTACAGGGATGACGTAGTTGCAAATTATTTTCCATTCATATGCGTGTGTAATTTTGCGTGCACGTGTGACGTGCAAATGCGTGCTCTCGTTTGCTCACATTCCTTTTTATAACAATAAATAAGCATTCATATTTGTTTGTCAGCGCCATCGTCCAGAGGGACGTTAACCAGAGCAGACATCGCCCGAGTGTAGAGGCTCTGCTACCAAGTTAGGCAACGAAAGCAGCCTTTTAACAGTTGGATCAATACTTGCCTGTGTGCTTGTTTTCATACCTCTTCATGTGAGCATGTAAATTCCTGATAATTCACAGCTCTTTGTCAGTCCAATGCTGCTTGATGAAGGCCTCCTCCACTCCGTGTCAGTCATGGGAGTTGTTTGACTATACTTCCACATGCAGGCTCATGCTTGTTGGGGTGCTCAGGATCGGTACAGATATCCCTTGCCACTGATAATAGCCGTGGCCAGGAATTGAACTCGGTTCGCTGGGTTCATAGCACACCACTGCTCTACCCCCAATGCACCACGACTCCACTTCTTTGTGGGAATGTGGCTGTAGGTAACTATGCATACCTGGATTAGTGCCGGCGTATATGCATGCGGTTTGTCTACCGGTACTTGCGTACGTGTGTGCCTGCACACATGAATTCTTCTCTTGCACGCAGATGTTTTCGGCAGTGCGAGTCTACCGCATGCAGGAGGGTGCCATGACCTCTCAGCACCGCAACAAAGCCTTCAACGACATGTGTGAGAGCATGCTCAAGGTGCGCTTGCCACAATCGTCGAATCTTAGTCGCGGGTCAACTAAGGCTTAGATCCAACACGGCTCGGTTAAGGTTTGAGCCACTCAGTTTTCAAAGTTGCATGTGTAGCTCAGCCAAGGCTTGGGTCAGGCTCAGCTCAACCAAAATCTTGAGCAAGGCTGAGACCCTGGTCACAGCCGGCTCTAGTTCGTCATGGTTTTGATCGAGCTCACTTGAGCCAGAGTCTGGCCTTAGCCAAACCCAGGGTACAGTGGGCTTTAGTGCTCTTAGTTCTTAGTGAGCACACCATCCACTTGTGCTTGTAATATGACTTGTCAGTGTAAATGGAAGTGCTTTATGTGAATGATGGCATTGCAGGGTCATTGATGTACACTATTACAGCAAATTGTGCACTCTTTTAGTAATAATAATGACCCACAGAAATATGTTTTGCTGTAATAATACGAATAATAATAATTGACATTTGTAAGGTGCATATCATCCGCAGATCCCAATGCACCCAATCAACCACAAAAGTACATTTTTACTGTTTAAATGAAAGGATTCAGTGATTTTGGATAAGTCGTCCTTTTCTCACGTTGTGGCCCCCTACAGAGCCTTTACTTCAAGCTCAGATCCATGATGCCATGCTGCCTATGCCACGTCAACTTCTCCGTGTCTCTGCCTGAGGACGAGCTCATACAGGTGAGTGACTTGTGCAGGTAGAAAGCTCACTTGGGTGTCTTCCTACAGATGTGAATACTTTTTGCAAGGGCAGCCGGTTACCGTGCGTTTTGACATCTTGCTGGCGCTTTTTTTTCTGCGCGCCCTTCCTCAGGTTACGGTGACGGCACTTGCGGTCTCCTTCCTGCCCGACACACCCAGGCCACTGGAAAGGATGCTTCAGAGAGGTCGGTGCATTCGAGGGTTGGTGGCGCGAGAAGGCCAGAGTGAAGCTGACGGCGTATATATGAAACTGTTACCAACTGCGCAGCGAGCATGGAATAGTTACAAACTGCGTGGTGTGATTTTCATCCAAAAATACCAAGACACGTTCAACCAACCGGTTACGTTTTAATGGAAAATGTCACGATATTGAGATATTTCTTTTAAAAAAACAACATAACATAAATGCCCATTCCAAATGCTGACATTGAGAAACCCCCTTCATTTCAACCGCCACCGCTTTTTCAACACAGCAGCGTGTTCCGGAGTGGCTTCCAGCGTGTGTCATTACGCCAGCGCGCGACGCAGGCTGCCTGTGTCGTGCTAACCGCACAATGGGCTCGTCTATTTTAACCACGTGACCTTGCTTGCTCTACTCCACTCCCGGTCCTCTCGCCTCCGTTGCCCCCTTGCAGGTTTACTCGGGGTGCTCCCCGTACCTCCCACAGGGATAAAATCTCATTCATTAGTTGGCTGAAAACGTCTTGATACAAATGCATCTCTCGTGTTTTGCGGATTGAGGCGGCGTTGTGAGGTGCAGTTTGCATGAATGACGCTATTTCACGATGCTCGTTATGTGGGACTTGGTGATCGTTGTTGTGCTGTTCCCAGTTAAACGCGGTGTAGTTTTAACAAAGGAGGAATGCGATCCGCAGGCTCTTTGGATGCGGACGAACAGCTGCAGTTCTCTATGGATCTCAGCTCGGACGTGCAACGCCTTGTCACCCCATCCAACCCCACAGGTACAACAAACAATACACTACGCTAGCAATCGTTGAGGATTTGTAAAGCTTTCGTTCACTCGGAGAGACTTTTGAGTCGGAGACGTGGGAAACCACAGAGAAGATGGGAATGTGGCCTCAACCAGCGCCAGCAATTGTCCAAGCTCTGTGGTTCTATATTGGGATGCTTGTTCACCATCAATTCGTGTTTATATCTACGTGGGAGAAAGCCGGAGGACCCGCATAAAACGCACGCATGCGGGGAAGTAACACTCAATCCCTGCACACATGGAAATGAATCCACTTGCTTTGCTGCTCTACCCCGGCAAGCCAGGAGATGGCGCCCTTGACATCCACGGACAGCGAGTTTCATGACTTTGAGCCACCAACCCTTGCCTCCAAAGTGCTGGTTTACAGCTGTGCATATTCACCAGCTTCCAGTGATGGATGTTGATCTATCTATGGATTTATCTTTCTTTCTTTCTCCCATCTTGCCCCACTGGTTTCATGAACTTCCAGCAGCAGTCCTCCATCTTTTGGCGAGAATTCTCATCTTCCATCTGTTGCCAATGTTTCCATGTGTTTCCTCTCCATTCTCGTGCCTCCTCCTCTACACTATCGGTCCATCCTTTTTTTTTGTTGCATCATCCTCTCCCTCTTGCCTCCTACTGGTGTCCCTCTTGCTTTTTCTGGATTCCCGTTTGGTTGCATTCTTCTGGAATTGCGATACCATAGCAGTCTGTTTCACATTTAAATATGAAGGATACCTATTTTATTTAACGGATTTACAGAGAAAGCGAGTGGGCATCTTTCATTCGTAACCGGTGTCAGTCCTGATCCATTGCTGAAAATTGCACTTTCTGGCAGGTGCACGGATTTCTATAAGGGTAACCTTTGTTTGATTCTCTTTAACCGACTGCAAGTTTTTGGATTGTTAGCAACCTTGTTCTGAGCTCTCTTGGCTTTTATTTATTTGTTGTAACTAACAGGCAATGGAGAGGAGCGCTGCAATCATCCCACATCTCCCGACAGAGGTGAGGGCAACCTCCCTCCTGTTTCACGCATCACTCTGGCTCCTCACCTCCTAATCTTACGACCTTAACCTTCGCTGCTACCCCCTTGCAACACCACTCGTACCACCACCACCTTTCCTTTCCCTCCTCTCTCTCCTCTCCTAACCATCCAGACTCGAACCTGACCCTGACCAGTGTCCCCAAATGAGAGAGGTCAGCATGATTCTGTCTTTTGTACTATACTGCAAGACCCGTATGAGTTGAGTAATGCCGTATGACGCATCTTCCATCCCATACCGTGCTTACAGGGCCGTCGCAGTGTGTGATGGCACCAGCAAAAGCTATGTTACAGTAATCATTGCAATGCAATATATGAAGTGAACTGCTGTGGTGGACTGGTGAGCGATGTGCTGGATTGATTGAAGAGGCTGCAGGGAAGTGGCAGGGGTATGGTTGTTCACGAGATGGTGAGTTTACCGTTGAACCTATAGTTAGATTCACGTCAATAAATGAAGTCAATTGTCAGTTCGATTGAGTTTATATTTTTCAATACCATTATATAGTAAAACCTCTCGCAATCAGAGTTGAGTAAGCCGAGCTTTTCCATACGAACGGTTAACCAGTCCACTTGATGGGACGCGTGTGCGTCTGCCCGTGTGGTTTCACGGATGTGTACAATGAAGATGTGTGGAGGGGAACTGGTATCCCCCACGTTTCCCCTTCTCTTTATACCCTGGTCGAACGCGACCACGGTTCTGTGTATGGAGAGGAGGTGGTTGGTGGGGATCGAATTGCACTCCCAAGGAAATTGCGCTTTAATCCTCAGTTGCTATTTTGGATCTAAATGACAAGAAAACAAGGATTTTTTTTCTTTTTGTTTTGAGAAAAAGAAAATCCGTAATTATGTAAATTTATTTTCCTTTCTGGTATTTTGTTTTACCATTCATATTTAAGTTTCACGAGTGAATGGATTTGCAGTACTTTCTCGTTAACAGCAAGACGCATCTCACTGTCAAGTTTAATAGGAACAAATCTGCCCGCAAACCATTTAAAAATAACAGATGTTCACGTCTCACATTCACACGGATTAAACCGTTTTCATTCCTGCATTTTTCACAAGTCATTTTGAAGAGCTTACCGATTTTGATAATTGTTTTTTTACCCTTTTATCTGGCAACAAAACTGACACCTTTTTTTACAAGGAGTCATGTTTGCATTGACCACAATACCTGCGGTCGGAATGCAAACAAATAACACAACCCTGATAATGTATGCACTGTCCTTGAAATTGATTGGTCCACACCCGAGACAGCTTTTCTTAGAGCCTAGTCTCACATGGTGTTGGACCAGATGACACCAAAAGGCGCGCACAAAAAAAAGTGTCAGTTTTGTTGCCAGATAAAAGGGTAAAACAACAATTATCATATTTTGCTACTGGCAAAGGAGGTTCCAATGGTCTAACCTATTTTGTTTTAGCGCCTGGATAATACTGCTGGCAATGCTCTTACACCTATTGGCGTTTGAATAATTGGTAAGGTTACTGCCATCATTAGTATCACTCGTTTTTTCTGCTTTATTTTCCTTGCCCTCCCTCCCCCCATCTCTCTGTCTCTTGTCTCCATCCCAGTGGCCTCGCTCGATTACAGTTCCTTTGCAGACCGCTGCAGCAGCTGGATTGAGCTCCTGAAGAGCAAGGCTCAGACTGCTCGCCGTGGATCCATGAGGACAAGTATGCACCGCTTTGCGTGTTGGCGTCCGTGTCTCCCCCTGGCCGGGGCAGTGGATGTTGCTGCCGGCCTAGCTCTCGATAACCCCTTGCCTCTGAAAACTCACCGTCTTTGGTGAATGTTGCATCCCCTGCTCAGTTCCTGGTGATGGAGCCCACCTGCGCACGTCCACCGTCTTCACCCTCCCTCTTATTGGTTCTCCTTGGGTTTTTTTCCTTTCCGCTTGTTCGACTTTGTTTTTATTGCATGTGGTTGGACTTCTGATATATAGAAAAAAACAATCTTCACGTTGTAAGATAGAGACATGTCCCCTCCCCAAATGTCGTATGAACAAATAGCTCCAGAAAATGTCTTCTGGGGTCACTTCAACAGGCCTTTCTTACGCGCGAGACCAATGGTTCCTAACATTTCTTCACCTTTAGACAATTGTCAACCCTCCGCATTTTGGCAGACCAGCATACAATCGGGTAGTCGTAGCTACAACATTTATGCGGAGCGCTCTTCACGGCCTTGTGGAATACCAATGGTCCGCACGCCCCAGGTTGGCAACCACTGCTCTGGAGAGACACTGCTCCTTCATAGTCTGCAAATAGTACACATGTCAGTCAAATGATATAGTGGATTATTGATCATATTTAGGCCGAATTAAGTGGAAAGGTGGGTATAATTATTTACTTTCTTTTCTCTGCAGTAGTTTATATCGCTTGGGCATGAAGTTTACTCTGTTTATCTCATGTGCATGTCTACGTGAGATATGAGGTTACATGTTTCCACGGTGATTCTCCTTAGTAGTCGCTTAGATTCTGTTCTGGCATTGCAGGAATCATTTTACCAACAACACTTCCATTGAATGAAAATTTACATTTGCATGTAAAAGTATAGGTTTTTAGTTTTTAGCCATTTTTCTCGTAATAAAAGAAAACAATCTTTTATTAATAAGTTCATGCTGGGCGTGGTGGTACGTTACTTTAATCCAGCGCGTTTTGAGGCAAGGCTTGGTGGATTATCCAAATTTGTGAGACTTCTAAACCCCCCCCCCCCCCCCGGCTTTGAGATGACATGAAGGTGCAGCAAATCTGGCTGTGACGGTCCCACCTGATGACGGAGACTTGTGTTGCCTCCAAAACGTCGTGATTTTTATTTTATTTTACTTTTATTAATTTTAATGTTTTACCTACGTGACTTTACCGAAAAAACCTAAGAATATGAAGGTGGCAGTTACAGGGAATGAGTGTAAAATAATCTCTGTGAACTTGTTGATATTCATCCATTTTATCCATCCTCTCATACACGTTCGTTTTCTCCAGGTACTCTGGTTTGCACAATCCAAGACCATTTGGAAATAGACCTGTTTATAGAAACATCCCTGAACAAACAATTGACATAAATACAACTTGATCATTACCCTGCAGTACCAATTTTAATAGTCTGACTGTCTTGATGAACACGTGGTTTAATAGCTAAACACCGTTGTGGTGAAACACCCGTGGTAAGCTGTCATGATTTTCAAGTGAGACTTGGAACCTTCACACTATTTTGTGTGCCTGAAACAATCCCCTACTCATCCCTCCTCCCACTCAGACAGAAACCTTCCATCTCGCTGCCCAACAGTATATCACCAAACAATCTCATCCTTCGTCCTGGCATCTCCCTCTGCGTTTTACTCCTCTCCCTGCATACAAAATCTCAAACGTGTGGTGTTAATGCTACTTTATATACAGTGCACGTGCACAATGCTCTTTTCTCCAACCCAGCCTTAATTCTCGGGGAGCAGTCGCCTTCAAAAGCCCAAACATTGTTTTTTTGTTTTCTTTATTTTTTTTCTCTCCCACAGGGCTCGGTGCACACACTGTGGAGTTTGCATGTGCGTGGTGCTTTTGGCATCTTCACACTTACATGTGTGCGTGCGTTTGCGAGCGTGTATTTTTGTTACGTATCTATGTGTACATGTGAAAATGTGCCTGCATACGTGTATGTAAATGTTCTAGTTCATTTTTTTATTTAATCACGTGAGAACTCGATATCAAGACAATCTCATTTGCAACAGTGGCCTGGGCCACGAATCTGCAAACAGATGACAGTAATTGCTATTTGTGGGTAATTTTTTAATTTTGCAAATGTGGACCAATCCGCCAAAAACACATAATGTCCTACTCTTAGAACTAACATCAGAGAATCTTTAACGTCCACGTGCGTGCATGAATGTGTGTGCGAGTTTGTGTGCGTTGTCTGTTAAAGAGTGGTTGCAAGTGTGTTTCTGTGCGCACGTGTTTGAATATATGGGCAGGATGCGATTGCACGCATGCATCTTTTTCCCCCCCTTCTTCTCTCGGTCGTCCTTGCCCTGGCTGCCACCCTGTGCACGTGTGCTCTCTTTAAGGTTGACCTCTACAGCTGTCAACTCCAACACTCGTTCACGCACCTTTTCCTACACTCACCAAGCAGGGTGGCCATGTGTTCCATTACCATTCCACCACCGTAGGCTGGGGCATTACCCATGCTCTGTGGGGTTTTTTCTCTCCATGTTGCTTTTATATACGCTTATATTTTGTTTCATTGTTTTATTATTTGAGTAAGAGAGGCTGCACTTAATTGGGGGCAAGCATTTTGGGGTTTCTTTGCGAGCGGTTGTCTGCACGGTAGGGTGAGCGTTTGTGCTGTTGAACATTTCAGGAGAGCTGTGAACACACCGTTAGACACCAATGGTGGTAGGGTAGTTCTATGTTGGCCCTTTAAACTAGCAGCTGTGAGTGAAGTGTGTGAGGATCATCGCCGAGTGCGTGTTAATTCACAGCTCTGGAGCTGTTTTAACCTTACAAGTGGCTACTTGTTACCCCCATCGGCTGCAATTGATCTTCACTTTAGAGATTGGTATGTTGTGGTTTCGACAGAAAAGTGAGTCGTCATCTTCATTATCTTGCCCGCTTGTGAGGTCGCGAGCTCCCTTCTACCCAGCCATCCCATGCTGTTGACTCCCCTGCTCCTGTCCTCTGTTTACTAGTGACTCCCTCTCTACAACAAATAGATACGCCCACTATTTCTAGGCAGCGCCTTCAGATGCGGCCACATTGTATTGTGTTAAGCAGGTGAGAGCCCATTATGGTTCATTGTTTTAGGAACAAAATCTTTACTCACAATTTAGTTACTGGTCATTGATAACATTGGAGATTTGGCCTATCAAGCTGGCATATGGTAGCGCTTGTCTTTTTGTAACTAATGTCTCAAGATCGTAACTATAGACCGCACACTTTCACAATATTAATGCCTCAAAAAATAAATTCTGGGTTGACTTGATCGGGATTATCTCACCAGGCATATTTAAACTTTGTCAGCAGCAAGTGTGCCGAGTGCTCGTCTCTACGGAGCCACCTAATTGAATGCAAATGGATGCGTAGTCCATGTGCTCACCGAGATCTATTTAGTAAGAATGTTCTTCAATACACCAATGCGAATGAGAAATCCTTAACCCAAGGCAAAAGCCCACGAACTGATGGCGTTTATTGTTAATGGACACAGGAAAAGCGTGCACCACACAGTGCTGATTATCCTAAATGAGGATGAAACTGGTACAACAAAGCAACCGGGGGAAAGATCAAGCTCTGTGGACACGTGTATCAATATATTTCAGATGGGAACAGAATCCTAATTCCACATTTGAGTGTTGCATTCAATTTGAATGCCACTACTCCTCCCATATCCACCAACCAAACCCCCTCAACGATCCAGTTCTTCTGTAAGCCTGCTCCCCTGCACTGTGCCACACCACCTTTGGCCTTGTATTTCCCTTTCATTCCGTTCCCAGTCTTTTCATTTATCAATTCACACAACTATATTCCCGACATGCACTCTTCTCCGCAACTGCTGTCTCCTCCCCCCGACACACCAAATCCTCAATTTGACCCCCCCACCCCCCACTGCTTCCACTTCTTTATGATTAACCCTACAATCCTTACACTCACTCTGTATCCTCCTCGACACCTGCGCTGCCCACTGCCCCCCCCCCCCAACTTCTCGGTGCTCGTTGTCCAACAGCGGCAGGTGGCGAGAGGGTGAGCCCGTACGGCGAGGGGCCGTCGCGCCATCGCTTGGGGTCGCGTGCCCTGGCCCACCCGCTGGTGGAGATGACGCCGCTCTCCTTCCTGCCCGGCTGCCGCATCACCAAGTACCTGGGCATCATCAACGTGTTCTTCATCCGCGAGACGACATCGCTTCGCGAGGTTGGCAGGGGATTTCTAAACCCTGACCCTTTGACTCCTGCTGTTTCCCTCACTCGCTGTAGGCCCTTGCTCGAGATTTGAAACTCGATAAAAAAATTATCTTCTTTAGTTATCTGCTAAATGGCATGTCTTCGGCTCAAACTTCCATTGTTATATCCGATGTTAACCTTCTTCTTAATGTTACTTTATGCCCTCCTTCCTACAAATTGTTAAGCAGCATTTTTACTTTTTCTGCCTCTGAAGGCCTCTTTTCCAACAACTTTCCTTCCAAAACATCCTTTATAAATACCTCACCTCCAAAAATGTGCCAATCCACATCTTTTGCCTTTTCCATGATTGGTTCTACTTAGACTTTGTTTATTTATATTCATAAAAAAGCGCAAAAAATGCTAATTATAATTCAAGCTGCATTTAAGTATGAAACTAAGTTCATAATTAGTTGGTCAAGTCGTAAGGTTAGGTAGGCTTAAAGGTTTAAGGAATACCACATCTCATGGAATTACGTATGTTGACATTTTTGACAGAGGTCTAAATGTCCCATTTGGTGCTGCGTTCAGTAAGGACACGCCGCCCCAGGTGTTCCTGAGATGGAAAGCTGGGGCGGCATGGAATTTGAACCCTGCTATGTCAGGCGACACAATGGCTGTTTAAGTAGCCTCTATGCCTTGAGCATCCAGTGTCATGTATACACATGTGACTGTCTTATCAATAATTAAAAAATAATAATAAGTTTTGCAGCCTTTTGTCAATCCGCTGCTGGATTACGACCTCCCAGTTCGTCTTTTTGGTCAGAGGGGTTTTTGACCGTGGTGAAGGGAGGGGGAGGGGTCAAGGACTGGGTCAGATATCGTGCTCGGATGTCACTTTCGCCACTGACGTGAGCCACGGCTGGGCATCGAAATCGGTTCGCTGGGTTCATAGCACAGTGCGCTCTAACCACTCCGCCACCGCTCCTGTCGAGATTTACTTGCTCACTTGGGACACGTCCCCTGTCACTCTCCGATGTGTAACTGTCACGATTACGCAAACGTCTGTCACTGTGTCTGATGATAACCACCGGTCAGCACTTGCGTCGGTCTCTTTTGTCCATCTCTCTTGGACACGCCGGATAACCCCGGACGGTCCGGACGCAGGAGGGAGGGGCGAGCGGCTTCCTGCACACGTTCATCGCCGAGGTGTTCGCCATGGTGCGCGCGCACGTGGCCTCGCTGGGCGGAAACGCCGTGGTCTCGTACCGCATGCGCGAGTGCGTCTTCTCGGAGAACCCCAACAAGAACCAGGTGCGTGCAGGCGGGGCGACCCCCTCCACCTGCCCACTGTTTGTTCCACCTGGCAGGCTCGTAGAATAAACTGCACCTATACGAGAGGACAATTCTTGCGGAATGGTGGGCAGGTGGTCGGGGGGGGCGGGTTGGTTGGTTGTTAATAAAATAGAGATAAACCTCTACTTATACACACACCAGCCAGTTGTTAGTCTGAGTCAAGGCTACTATGGAGGTTTTTCACAGTCGTGCTGGATGTATGCCTGTGTAGAACTTATTTCGCACCGTAAGTAGCTAACCGTGCTAATTGGAGGTGTGGGGGGAAGGACAACAAACTAAACGCAAAAAGCAGCTCTTAAAGAAATTAGTTTTTAAAAGTGCATAGCTCCAGTGGCTTCCTAATATTGGAAGGAAGAGCGTTCCAGACGGCCGCAGAAGCCTATCTGAAAGCACACGATGCTCTATAGCTGTCTTACGGACGGATTGTATTGTGGTACGCCCTGAAAAGCAATCGATCAATATTTATTTGTTACACAGAATGTCCTGTTTAGACGGTTACCCAGATAGCTTCCAAGGGAGATGGGGGTGGCGCATCGGCACAGAACAAGAACAACTCCATCACAGTGATTAGTACGGAGGAACAGGCAGCAATGTAATAACGTGTCAGAGGTGCAGGGCAAAATAAGTGCTTGAAGAACAAACATCAACATTTTGTTAACAAAAGCGCACGAATGAGGTAATTTTAGGAGAGATGCGGGCCAGACAAAGCACACACGATCGAGCGAATAAAACAAAACAACATTATGCAGCAGAGAGCGGTCGTGTGGCTTCATGTTTTGTTTCGGCGTACAAAAAGTTTTTTGTTGTCATCCTCAACAATTGCTCCGAGAAATACCTTTTACATGAAGTGCGTGCGAGTGTCATGTGTCTCCGTGCCACCTGCCTCGTGAGCGGAACGTGCCTGAGTGGCGTGAGGCTGTTTGTCAGCTTGCCGCCCGTCTCCTCATCCTCCTCATCCTCCTCATCCTCCTCATCCTCGCAGGCCCAGTGTCTGATTAACGTGAGCGGCGACGCCGTGCACGTGATTCGGGATACGGAAGCGGTGCCCGAGCCCGTGACGCCGTGGCTGTTCAGCCAGTCCGAGGCCTCCCAACAGCAGCAGCAGCAACAACAAGCTGGTGACACGGAGACCTAACACGGACGAGCACACCCACACATTTTGTCTAACGTGCCCTGTTGAGCCCAATCGACTGGTTGGGACAAGTGATACCAGCAAGCACCTATGTAATCCAGATTAGCACATGTTTGTGGTGGGATGGTGTGACCAAAACCATGATCGTGTGGCTATTTGTGACATACACGGATGTTGGTCATGAATGCACATGCAATCAGATGTACGTACGTGTACATCGGGACGAAGGCTTTTAAATTAGAACATTGAGGACTGTACGGCACATGAGATGGTGGGGTAAATCCCATGCACGCCTGGGGATTTATCTCAAACACAGTACTTAATGTTCATGGTAGTAATTTCTTTCAATCTGAATTGACATAGGGGAGACCCATGCATTAACAGGAATCAAGCCGGCTTTACTGGATTTATAACGCGCAGTGCTAACCGTAACATATTCACTCACGGCTAAGAGGCGATTGTTAACATTTGTGCACACGAACAAAGCGTACACATATACTAGGTGCTCAGGCATAGCCACTATTACTATACTGCAGACAAACAGCGAGATATCCGAATTAATAGATGTGCATGAAAAAAATGAAACTAACAGCTAATCGAGCATTCCGCTTCAGCTCGGTTGTAGTTGTAAATATTTGATTACTGGATAATCGTGAGATATACAAGAATACAATATTCAGCGGGTGTTATTTTTATGGTTTATAGCAATTTTTATTATTGTTTGGAATCATTGTACACTCACTTTGCTTGCACGTCAAGGTGGCTTCCTCATGAGATGAATCTGTATTGGATGAGTTGGGTTTAACATTAATCCCGCGGCACGTTCTCACACACCCATTATCAATTTAAAAATCGCGACGCAGGACAGCTTCGTTCAGTTTTAAAGTGTCCCCACTTATGTATGCCATCATCATCATGTGCGAATATACCAACTTTTAACCTGGATAAATAGCTAAGGCGAGTGATGACGGTGCGCACCAATTTGCAGTGGTTGACAGCAGCCCGTGGTGGAGCCGTGCTGCCAGCTCCCTGCATGCCCAGCCTCATGCACGCCCAGCCTCCTCTTGTCTCCCCAGTGCCTGTGTTGACCCCGACGCAAGTAATCGTTATGCGTTTGGTGACTTTTACAAGGCAGAAAAGGAAAACGGCAGAAGCATGCGTCTCTCCATTGCCTCGCTCGCCACAGCCACAAAAACGGCTCCGCCTTCATGTTGTTGCCGCCGAGTGTGGATTTTTCATTCGTTTGATAGTCAATATATGCAAAGTGTCTTGAAATAAATGTAACGCAAACAGCCGATTGTTTTTGTCGCTGGGACCGTCAATCTTGACCGCTCACCAACGTGTTTTTTGGGGGTTTTTTTCCCCGTGTGTTGTGCGGCGTGATGTCCGACGTTTTTTCTCCACATGCTGGGAGCGTCTTCAGAAACGGAAATGCAGAACTTGGCTGAACAACACGTGGCACAGCCCGAAAGCACACTGGAGAGTTCAACGGCACAGCCGTGAAAACCCACGCAGTGGCATCAGACATTTGTGTGATCCTGTTTAAAGACAAGTGACAGGAGGATAGGGTGTTGAAACCATCATGTCAATGGTACTTGATTTCTTCTTTTTTTTGCTCCAAGGGCATTATGAGCCCACCAAACTACTTGGATGCCTTATTTTGTCAGCTGTGTGGTGGTGATGGCGCGCCAGTGTGTAATTACAGTCACTTGAATTAGGGATGGGTGGATCGTGTCCGTATGTACAGTAAAACCTTGGATTGCGAGTAACTTGGTCTGCGAGTGTTTTGCAAGACGAGCAAAAATTTAAAATAAATATTAATTTGATAAACGAGCGAGGTCTTGCAATACGAGTAGTACGTGTATACGCTTTGTCTGCCGAGCGTCACGTGATCACAACTGATATACGAGTACTTTGATATACAAGTGCTTTGGATTACAAACACGTTTCCGGAACGAATTATGCTCGGCAAGCCAAGGCTTTACTGTACGTTGAACTTCTCTAGCACCGTACATGGCCAACTGTGTTAATCGGAGGTGCGGATCATGCCACCCACCTGCGGGACAATGTGGTGGAGCCCGTAGAATGCCACAAAACAATTCGTTATCCTGTCTGTGCAATAGAATTTGAGTGCGGCACCTACGTGTGGGGGTTTCCCCTGGTCACCCCAGCTTACTCCCGTCCGCCAAAAAAATACCCAAAAAGCTATTGACTTAACATTCCAGAGTTGAGTCCTCCAACAACCTCATCGGCCACGTTTTTGTCCGAGTAATAGCACATGACATTGCATCAAGGCACTTGTTGCTATCCAAAGAGTGGTGCATTGATGTTAATTGCAGTAAAATTTGATTAAATTTAATTGATGTAAAATCGTGAGTTTTTTTCAGTACCCTTTTACCGAAACGTCATGAGGACTGGATTTACTCGGAAATGTTCCAAATGCAACCTCCCATTCTGCTCTGTAATTGCCAAATCAAACGGTCTTTCTACCCAAACAAGCATTGGGGTAGCACTCATCTATCAGCATGGGTGGCCATGAGCCATTTATACAAATTCCATATTCCTATGGCTAAATAACCTATACCTATAGGACAACCACTGTTTTCTTCACATACAGTGGTACCTTATCAATCCTAGAGGGATGATGATATGAGTTGACCCCATGCTCCCTAGATGGCTGATTTAATTTCACATCATTGCTTATGCCCATGTCAATAAGCCACATGATGACAGATTTATAAATGTATCAAAATCAATGACATTACCCGTAGTTGCTGGGCCTAGGTTAGATTATAAAAAAAAAACAGTCGGAAACACCCCAGTGTGATCTACTCCATTTCCGTCAAACCTTTCTTTGCCGGTGCACATCATTCATGAGCCACCTCTTCAGAAAAAACAGATTGAGATCCTGATTTGCATTGATTTGGAAATACTTAGAGCACAGCTGGTTTTACCTAATGTAACATGTAGGTGTAAACGGAGTTATTGAGGCTCCCAAACAAAAATAAAGATGTTATACAGTCATGTGTGTATTGATCAGAGATTAATTACACGCTGAATATTTTCTGAAGTCTGCGTGAGCCACGGTGACTAGTAGCAACAGCCATATTGAGAGGTATACTTGGATGTGGAGTGCCGGGTGTGGAAATATTTTCTGGGTCACAGACCTGGACAGACCCGGCTGACATTAATCCACAGTATTTATACTAATTTTCTGTCGGGTGAACTCTATATTTTTGGGTGCAAAGTCAAATTTCTCAATTCCTGATGTAAGTGGGTTTAGCTGGAATGTTTGCATCCCACAGAACACAGGTACTTTGTTGTAAATAGCACAAAAACAATTTAAATGCAGTTCTACGAAGCAATGCAAAAACAGACTTGAGCTGCAGACAAATGCATTTATTTTATTTTTTTTGGCAGAGGTTTTTATGACTTAGCACTCCACGTTGCTTTTGAGTTGTGTTTCATGTCCAATATGCAATCTATGCATGTGTAGTGAAATAAATGTAACCCAAACGACTCATGTATTTTTTTCGGTAGTATAGTCAATAGCTGAGACCACCATACTCGGTATGCTTTCAGCTTGTATTGTGTTTTGTTCGGCATGATGTCTAATGTTTTGCTCCACGTGCTGGGAGCTTCCTCCGTTCCTGAAGTTCATCAAGAGGCTTCCTATCACGTGGGTGAAACATCGAACCTCATGCCGAACAACACGCGATAAACCCGATACAGCACACCCTCAAAAATTAACACTGTACTGTGTATAGGATTATTTGTTAAGGGCTGAATTTTGTTTTATTATCTTGCATATGCTTCCGGTGGTGGGCGGCCTGGTGGTGAGCACACTCATCAATGTGTTGTTAGTTTGCATAGAGCAAATGTGCAGACTACTCGTGCTATAGGGAGCTGGTGCATCAAGAATGTCCATGACGTACTTAGCTGCGATTGCCACTGAAATTATTGGTTCTGTTATGAACGAGTGATCTCGCAGTGAAGATTCCAACGATGACCCCCCATGTTATGCGGTAAAGACCAACACTGACACATGGAATATTTTTAAGTTAGGCCTATCCGTCTACAGTCTGCACATTAACTCTTGACAAACCATGATAATCTGTGCCACAACCTGAACTAACATTTTTCTTCATCCAAAATCATTAAATATCCCTAACCCTGAACCCAATTGCTAATAAGAGACTTAATTCTAGTTTTTGTTCTAACACTAATTCTAGACCAAACCCTGATTCTAGTACGACCCACGATCCATACTTTAACCCTAGGTTCTACCCCAATCTAATTTGTTTTTATTTTATCCCTACAAGATGATCCTTTTGGTGTGTTAACCTGATTTATTGGCAACAATCCCTCGTGTGAATCCGTGCCCATGTTAAGAAGTGGATAGTTGTTAAATGTTTTGTTCCTGTCACTTTTCAAACTGAATCACACCGTTGTTCACCATCGTATATTTTTGTTTCCAATCGGTACGAAACTGCACAATTGCCAACTTGCATTTTGTTAAGTAAATGTATTTTTGATATTTAAAAAATATTAATTCGTAGTTGGTACTTGTGAGACGGGGTAGCGTCGTATCGGTAACCACCATCGTGACTGCTGTGTATATTAGTATTGTAAAGAATTTAAAAGGAAAAGAAATCAGAATTTCACACTCATTTCAACTCCTGGCATGAATGAATGAGATTCTCTGGCGCTTTTGAACCCAACGACAATGTATTAGTCTATTGTGCGATGCACCAAATACATCAATGTAGCACAGGTTCTGCTAGAAGATGCACATTAAGTAAATCTGTCGTATAATTTCAACATGAGCGTGGATACCTATTTAAGCTGCAAAGATGTCCTCTAGGTTATAAAGGTGCGGTAATATTGTTTGTGGATCTTCTGAGTATCGTTTTTTTACGAGAATTTTTTCCTTCACATTTTAAGCGACGTTACGAGCTTCAGATGGCAATTTTCGCAAACTTTTGGGATTCCATGCTTTTAAAATGCAATTTTATACGTGGAAACCTTCAAACCCTTGCTCAACGACCCATAATATGCAATATTTTTACGTCTCAACACGTTTCTTGACTGCCTTTTGGTTGTATTTTGAATGTATACACAAAATGTGTTGTTCACCATTAACGTCTCGTCAAATTACACACTGGTGTAAATAAATAAATACGCCTATCAGACATCATAGGAAAAGCTCATTAAACCAGGTGGCACTTACATTGCCTCGGTATGGCTTGCAACATAAAAGATTAAAAGTGACGCTTATAAAGGCTGGAAGTTGAAACATCTCATTGCCCTGAATTGTGTGAAGTGTCGATGTTTGTACGGATTTATTGTGCTGTGGTTTTTTAAATCTGTTATCTGTCTGCTGACATGGCCGTCTTCTCTGGACATCAATGCTGGTATTAATGCCGTTTTAATGCTAATACAATGCATGTCTGAAACAAACAAACACATCTGTTCAACAACAAGTTACTTAAGCAAATGTAAACTCAGTGTCACCATCTCCCTTGAACATCCATGTACATTTGTGGTTCGCAGCCAGTGGATACAATTCCAAGTACAAAATGGAACCCATTACCTTCTTAACCAGCGGTTACTTCCTGGCATCAAGTGGCATGTACTTGCCAGGTCAAGTTGACCTCTTTAACCCTCGGGAGATTAGACGTGTAATGATAATTTCAACAGTTCAAAACCAGTTGGCCTTGCTCAAGAACTAAATAGTTTCAAGCAGAGATATCAAAACTATAACACTGGTCACAAGGAAATGCTAGATGCAAAACCAAAACGGACTTGAGGTCACAAAGGACCCACGTGTAAAGTAATTCCAAAGCAAATCACGGAAATCTTGCAGAGGAGCAAGTCTCCATTGTTGACTTAAGAATATGATCTCCATTGTTGTTTATCCCTGGCTATATTATTTTATATTTATATAGAGCGCCTTGGTTCACTATGTTGTCAACGGTAAAACTAAAATGTTGCATTGAGTGGAAAATTGTACGTACATGGCTTCGTCTGTTTTGCATTGACCGCTGAGTGTGTTCACAGTTGGCCAGGCATGGTAAACTGGGCTGGTGGGTATTGGTGGTAGAGTGATCCATGTGAAGTGTGGAGTTGTGAACGTATTGCCAGGGCTGATAGTCAAGTGTTATCTTGTGGGCGGGGCGTTCTGTTTTCTAAATAGCTTTGCTGCATTCGCCACTTGAGTCCCAAATACGCCATGCAATAGTGCTCGCAAAAAAAAGCTTCCATCTGTCAGCATATCATTGCACATTTGTTTTTTGGCGCAGAGAGCAGCACGTCACACACTTCCGCTCATCGGTGTTGGTGATCCTGCTTGTGGCTGTTAAAATAATATCTGTGGCGGCATTTCTGTTAATCAGAGTGCAGTGTCTGCTGTAACGTGGACACTAAACGTATATGTGAAACTCAATAGGTAATTGCTTTTTTGTATGACAGTGTTGGCCATCATGTATCACACGAAGCGTCAATATTCAACGTAGCAGAGTAATGGAAATTGATTGTTGATTGTGTAATTATGGTACAAATTTCAGATGATTGTGGTCTCCACCTACAGCAGAAGTGCAACACAATTGCTTGGTGTTTGAAATCTAGCTGGATTACCAGATACAGAGAAAAATATAGCTGAATACAATCTGTACATTTAAATGTAAAACTTCATGTTTGACATAATTGCACAATGCCTTGCATGAAAGGCAGCGGCGGTCAAAATGTTTAGTGAACTAGATATTAAAAGTATTTCCATTTGCATCTTTACGTACGTACATTTACAATTCGCAGTGATTGTAATAGCGATGCAATGAATGTGTAATATAATAAATAACATTTGTAGCCATTTAGTGAATTGCCAATTTGCCACTAACATTGGTGTGTCCATTCTCAAGAGTGATCAAGTTTGAAGAGCTTGCATCGGATTAGATGACGTACATCATGCATAGGTCAAAGCTTGTGTAAAAAAATGTATTTCTAAGTTGAACGCAGTTTTCATCGTAAACTTTATATTGTCAACTCTAGAAATAAGCAGAGCTGTCGGACTGATTTTTTTGTATTCTGTAAATATGTTTCGATGTATGTGTATATATGCGCTAAGAAAAGAACAACCATTAGGGTCTTCCGAATTCAATTGGGGCTTTACAAATGTTTGACCATCTCTCCTTAGTGTTGATTAATAACCTTGATTTTCTTCACGTTTTTCACATTTTGATGCAAAGCTACAGATCGTAAATAAAAAAACATTTTAAAAAGTGGTACACGCTCACATTTGTATTTGTTAATTTTGCATTTGTTTTCGTATCCCCAATGTTATCCCGATGGTGCGATGGGAATCATGGAATGAGATGAAGAAACCATTCGGATTAGGGTTGTAGAGCGGTTGGAGAACTTCCCACTTACGGCGGATGTCACAGAATAGCTTCTTGAGATCTCTTCAAGCCACCTCATCCACACTAGGGGTAGCACTTCCCCACGCGTCCTGCTACTTAGATACGTGTTAGTGGCACGCATCAACATAACATTTCGAATTCTCAAAACCCAGAATGTATACAAATAAAGTGCAGTCAAAAAAAAGTGCAGTCAACGATGACCCAGTGGAGACCATCCACTCATGAGAACCAAATTTCATCACGAGCTGCTTATCAGTTTTCTGCCCAAGATCTTATACAAAGGGGCAATTACTGAAAGCAGACCATAATGAAAACAAGTCTACTGTAAAGTGTTTTGAGAGTAGGTTTGAGTCCTTTGGGAGAACTGAAGTTTCAAATAATAAATCAACGAAACAACAGATAAGAAAGTTAAACTCTTGTGGTATGTATATGGCAAGAGCCAAGAAGAGTCACCAACCTCCCTTAAAGTGCCCTTAAAACAGGCAAGTAACAGGGCACCTGATGTGATGCCTACTCTGTTCGCATCCATTGGCTGCTTGGGCCTCCAATATTAACGTGTCTTGCACCTGCAGTCAGTTCCAACACTACGCTCAAGCAATTTCATACTGGATGTTGCGTGCTCAACAAAGGTAATCATTCTTGTTTTGTGAACTACTGAAGTTAATCCAATGTATGCAAATACTTCGTTTGAGGTTCAGTGATAGTTCGAGGTCTACCATGCTATGGACACCTACATACTGTACTCGAGTTCTGTGCTGGAGAACTCTGACCATTTAAGACTGCTCGCATATGTACTTGTCACGAGTGGTTGCTCATGTCATCTCAGCTGCGAGAATCATTCTTCACGACGTTCCGCTAGCGTATACAGATGTTGGCCCTGGGTTCGATCCCGACCCCTGGACTGCCCCTGCTGTACATTTGGAGTTTGCGGTGTTTCTTTCTCTCTCTTCCCGTGGTCGCGTGGATTTTTCTCCGGGTCCTTCGGTTGTTACCTCGACATTTTAGAATCGGCAACAACGCGCGTTTAGAGTATTTTTGTCTGCTTATGAATTTGCACGTGATAATGATGATGAGCCCACTTGCGTTGAGCAATCATTTGTGGCCAGGTTGCTTCTGACAAAGAGCTCTTATAGCTCAGTGGGCCTTACCTGGTAAAATAAAAATATATAAAAGTGTGTCCGCCACAATATTAAAACGTGTTGATTTTGAATGAACAACATAAAACAACGTGTAGTCAACGCGTGCCTGTAAACGCACCAAACGTCTGATCAGCGAGGTGGCTCGGAGAGTAGAACCCCTCTTAACGACTAATCGTTTAACGACCGGGACTCCATAGAGCCCAAAGTGTTCGCTTAACGACCATTCCCCTGTTAACGGGTTGTAGTAAATGTTAATTAATGCATTGATTAACCATGTTTCTTTAAACATGTCTTTACAATGTTGTTAGTATCTTTATGTATTTATATCCATTGTAAAAAAATTGTTACGTTTCTTTGGATGAAAAAGGGTAACTTTCAATGCTATCAGAACGCATTAAGACTTTAAAATATTTCTTGTACCGGCTTAACGACCAAATCACTAAACGATCGGTTTCGTTGGAACCAATTACCATTGTTGAGAGGGGTTCTACTGTCCAGTAGACTCGATTATCTGCGTACGGTTTATCCGATTGGCGGATTAACCACGCACCTGAGATTTTGACATCAATTAACAACTCGTGAATTTTCCCATAAGCCCAAATTAATCATCTAAAAAAAGTTATAGCATTGTTGATCTTGGAAATGTTCATGATAAATCACGTGCATAAACCAAACAAATATGTAACTCCGGTAAATCCGAAATCCACGTGATCGCCTCAACAGTACAGGAGTTGCATATCTTAACTTAAGTGGGCGGAGTTAGATTTTCATTGGGAGTGGCCTTGCGATCCACTTAGGACTCTGCACTTAAACGTGATTTATACCCATATTAGTGTTTTTTGTCACAGAGATCCGAGAGTAAATTTATGTTTTCAGATTATCCACGATTTTGAATGATCCGCAGCCGTCCTCCCCGTCATGAGCTCGGATCATCGAGAGTCTTGCTGTAGATTTGGGATACCGTGACAGATATTCTGAAACTGGGACTTGTCCCTGGCCAAACCATAATTTTTGGAAGCCTTAATTATCCATATATTTTTTTTTAAGGAAACAATTTTGAACGTCCACTCTTGCCGCAGTATTAAAATAAATCCATTGTGTATATATTGTGTGATCATTTCCCACGCACTATTTTCAATAAGTCAACATCCGACCACAATTCGTGACAATACTACTTATTTATTTAATTGTACATCACGCATTGCTTTACACAAATCATTACAAAATGTACAAAAAAACAGCAACTTTGCAGTAGGAAAAATATTTCGGTCGAAAGGAAGATGTTGATATTTAAACATTCGCAAGGTTCTTCCCGGCAACCTCCGTGTTGTTTACGGGGTGAGAATCAACAGTGAGTACTCTTGCACGCACAAATTCGCTGCGCAGTTGGGTCACCGCATAGACTCGTGGGTGGGGTCCATTGGGGGATCATCGATGCGCTCCGATGGTACCCTCATGTTCATCATTACGCAGGGCTTCATTATAAATGTAAGTCAAGTACTCACGTGGTGATCGTTGCTTGCTTTGTGCACATTATGAGAGTAGTATAAATGTAACAACACAACACACTTGTGCCATGGGATTTCTTTTCTTCTTAAATATATATACAAGCTGACATTTGTTTTCTTTTCATTGAAAATAAGCTCGTAAATACGTTACCTTTTAATATGATGTACACCATATACTCGGTTGTTCATTGAGTTTGTGCAAGGCACACACTCTGACAAGCACATTATCCCACGACAGCACATTAAAGTACAGTACAATAATTTTGTGTGCATAATATTGGTTCTAATCCAATATCTTATTGCTGTAAAAACCTCAGATGTAATTATTACATTTGATGTGTCCTCAGTCAGATATCTAACCCGAATATTTTATGTACACACGTATCTACCTAGACTCCTCGTGCAAGACTTGTCCCAAACTCTATATTAAATATTAAACATTCACCTACCTATTAACGATACAATATTTACATCAACAATACTGCAACTGTTAGCGTTCGGGCTTTGCCAAGTGTAATAGCTATGAGAGGGATGTTATTAACCTTATTAGGATAGGCTTCATGTAAAGCTGTGGTTATGGGTTACAAAAGAATACAGTAATGTAAGAGCTATGATTAAGGTTACAGAAAAAGTTATGGATATTGTTGAGGTAAGAAATGGGGTTAAAGTTCAGTGTGGTAAGTGTGAGTGTTGTAAGTAGTGCAGTGCTGGCAATAGGATTCGATCATTCAGTGTTTGAGCGATGTTAGTGTTCAAGTTGGTTAAGTTCGTGTTAGTTTGGTGAAAGAGCTTAGAGGCAAAACAAGTGACTAGCTTCCAAACCAATTATTTCACAATTTAATTAAATTAAAAACGTATTTCCTGAGAATCCAGCTGTGATGTAAAGGGAAAAAAATACTATTTCATCCCCATAATCTCTAACGAGAAATTTTCGAGGGTTGAGATGAATGTCACTTTTTTATTTGCTGCGAAAATCTCTCAGCTTCTCATGCTACAAAAGTATCGCTCTGTCATTCCCCACCCCTTCGATGAATTGGAATGATGAACCGGGTCATCTAAGAGTAAAACTTGATACCCATCCAACACCTGAGTTCAATTTTCACGTTCGTATGAATGCTGAACTTCTTTCGCACCGTACGTAGCCAACCGTGCTAATCCGGTGGGTGCGGGGGTAGTGCAGCAAACTAAAACGCAAAAAAAACAGTTCTAAAGAAATTAGTTTGCAATTCTTAAATGTTGTGGAATCACGACCTGATGATGACGATTTAAATGAGCATGGAAATCCGTTCATATTTAAGAAGGTGACATCGTGTGGGAATGATTTAAAAGTTGTGGGGGGGGGGGCGGTAGTAACATATAGAAGCTTATAGGGGGGCGGTGGGGTCATGTGACCATGTGGAGGAGTCAATAGGGGAGTGTGAAAACGTCTTAAAATGTCGTTGCAGAACCGATGTGGAAGTGCACGGAGGTGAGCTGTGTTTAGTCACGAATGATCAATAACGAATCCAAACACAGCCACAAAATTACAACTTGTCACCATGCTGCATTCCGTAAACTTAATTTAGTACGCAACCCTAACCTAACTATAAACAACTTATGTATAATTCCCGCTACTCCTTAGCATAGCTCTTGGTACTATAATAGTCAAGCACAAATCCTAACATCCTTACCTCCTAAGCCTTGACATAACACGTTAACCATATACAGTATTCTTTTCCAAAACTCCAACCATTTGCCTAAATTAATCGGAGTCCCTACACATAACCCTATAACTCTACTGTAACACATGGCCCTAACTGACTGCGATCCCGTTATTAATCTTAACTCATTAAAAATTGACGCTCGCCATTTACTTTCCTGGCGTCGTTTAAAATATGACCGTACTTTGTGACCGCGCACCTGTTTATTTGTGTTCACGTGCGTGCATTCACACGCCCAGTGACGCCAGCATTGACGTCGCCAATACGAGAGCAAATAAAGGAATCCTTCAGGTCTCTCTTTGTCAAGGTGTGTCCTGCTCACACGAGCATCGGACGGAACCCGTTACCGCTGACGATGTCCTCGAGCCAACGGAGGATGATCCACGCCCCTCTTCGTTGCTCAGAGTCACGCCGGTGGTGGAGGGTGACGATTTGGTATTTGAAAGCGAGTCGCGATCTCACGGCTTGGGCAGTTTGTGGGAAAGGAGCCGGTGAACCCACATAAAGCACCTTGGGGCATACATGGCAGCAGCCGGCAACGATGGTGGAAATACTGTGCTAGTAAGTTAAACACGTAGCAGGCTTTCGCGACCAATATTATTCATAATCAACGTTTTTGGGTTTAGATCGCGTTATTTATAAATGTGTCGTAACCCTCCACCACCCGACACGGCCAATCAGTAAAAAAAGTGTCACGTTGACAAAAGACAAAATAGTTCACTGCTTCAACACACCGGTGGGCTAAGGCAGTGAACTATTTGTCTTTTGTCAAAGTGACACTTTTTTACTGATTGGCCGTGTCGGGTGGTGGAGGGTTACGACACATTTATAAATAACGCGATCTCAACCCAAAAACGTTGATTATGAACTGTGCTAGTAATGCTAGAAACCGGCCACACGTGTTGCCTTGTCGGCTCTGTGGAGCTGGTGACGACCGCGAGGCTTTGTGCAGCACGCACGCACTAACCGGTCCCCGTCGTCGTGAAACGCAAAACATGCCGGAGAGCATCCATTCACATTTTTTGCTTTTGAAGGAAGACACTTCTGTGACTTGCATCCCACTGGGATTTTTAGCACGCAGCAGCATTGATATACGGTGCTTTTTCTGGAAGATGTTGCTGTTTTTTTTCCTGCATTTTTCTGTCGCGCGTAGTCACTTTAAAATGTTTCTTGTTCATGTTTTTGTTTGTTGCGGTCGCACCCAATTCAAAAGCCGCACGGGGCTCACAGGGCTACACCTAATAAATGCAACTGAAAACTGTGTACCGTGCACGAGTGCGCATACCTCATCCGCACGAAGGCAACACCGTTTTGGGGGGTGGGTGGGGGGTTGGGGTTGAGCGTGTGAGTGTTCCGCGTGTAAGTCTCACGCGCCTCCGTAGCGCCGCGTGAGCGTGCACACGCACGCCGTGTCCAGCCGGATCCACCGCCACGCCAGGCGGCCACGCGCGTCCTCGGTGAGCGCGCGCACGAACGACTGCGTCGTCTTGCACTGCGACCTCCAGCGGAGCTCGTCGGCTCCCCGGCACGCGGCGCCGGTCCCCGTTCCGGAGGCGAACCTGGAGGGCGCCTCTCGGCTCCGACTCCCGGTGGCCGCCGCCGCCGCCGGCACCGCCGCCGGCTTGCAGCGCGTCTCGTAGAAATACTGCTTGACCGACGTCGAAGACGGTTGGGATGACGACGACGACGATGATGATGATGATGCAGAAGAAGAACTTAAGGACAGCTCTCCCAGTACACGGACTCGCATCCCGGTGATGTCGAAGGCCGTGTCGCGATCGGACACCCAGCGGCTCTCGCTGTCACAGGCAGGGTACTCTCCTCGATGGGGACGCCGTGGGGGCTGCTGCTGCTGCTGCTGCTTCTGCTGCTGCTGCTTCTGCGGTGCGGCGCTGCGACTTCTCCTCCTGGCCTTGCCCTTGCTCCTGCCGCTCGCTCGTCGGTGACTCGGCGCGCTCAAAAGGCCTTCGCGTTCAAATGGCCCCACCACTTTCTCGGTCTCCAGCTCACCGCTGTTCTTTGCAGGTTCCTCGTGATCGGCCGCAGCGTCGGGTCTGTCCGCAGCCTCCTTGCCGCTCGCCCCGTGGTGCGTTTCCCCGCCTGCTCCCGGGGCCACTGCCGCCTCCTCGCCGCCCTTGTCAAACATCACGTCCTCCTGCTCCACCAGCGCATCGGTGTCAACCACCTTGTCAGCCTCTTCCTGGTCCAACTTCTTGGTCACCGCCTTCTTGTCCACCGCTGCCTCGTCTACCAAATCCTTTATGGTTGTCTTCTGGCCGTCCACTTCATCCAGCACTGCCACCGGCTCCTGCTCCTCCTCCATCGCCTTATTCTGTACCTCCTTGACCTCGTCGTAACCGTCCTCGGTGTCATCTTCTCGATCATCATTCTCTTCATCGTTGCCCTTCTCAATCAGGCCCCGCATCTCCACGTCTTCATCCCCTCCTGTCTCCTCCTCCGGCCGGTGTTTTTCTTCCTCCCCGTTGTCATATCCCTCCTCGTGCCCCTCCAGCGAGGACTGCGGCCGCAAGTCCCGTGGGGTCCGAGTGGACAGAACGACTCTGCGAGGTCTGGGCGAGACTCCTCGATCGCTGCTCCTCAGAGGCTGCGGCAGCTGCCACTGCTGCCGCTTCAGCTCCTCCCGTTGCTTTAATTGTTGTTGTTGCTGCTGCTGGTTTAAGTTCTTATTCTCATGCTTCAATCGATGCTGTTTCCACTCGTGCTGCTGCTGCTGGTGGTGGTGCTGCAGCTGGTGCTGCTTCAGCTGGTGCTGCTTCAGCTGGTGCTCTCGCTGATCGTTAGACGGCACTTGTTGCTGATGTCGCTTCACTGATTGTTGTGGCATCGGCAGCTGCTGATGATGCTGGTGCTGCTGCTGATGATGGAATTGTTGACTCAAACATTTCTGATACTTGTGTCTTTGGTCCAATACGAGCGCCAAGCTGGGCTTCTCTGTCTGCACCGATGATCTCCTGGAGTCTCCGAATGGGATCACCCGGCCTCCGGAGAGATGAAGGTGAATGTTGTCACTTTCCTTGGAGGAGGAGGAGGAAGAGGAGCCAACGGGGAGAACGAGGACAGCGAGGAGAAAGAGCCGGGTTCGCATCTCGTCACGTCGACGACTTGCTGCTGGTGCAGGTCGAACGGAGCCGATCATCACAGCGCCGCAGTTGGGAGAACATCTGTTTAATTAATGAATCAAAAAAAGAGTAAGCAATCCCATATTAGTTACATGGGGGGGGGGGGGGGGGGAGGAAAAAAAAAGGCGCTGCGCGGCGAAAATGTTGAAAATGCGGCTCGTCGTTGTCACGTTGGAATTCACTTGGCTCGCGAATAAAGCCGCCCGAAAATATAATTAGAAATAAAACACCCATCCCCGCCGAGTCTAGCCAGCAAGGTGAGCCTTAAGTGCGCGCAGGCAGGGCGCGCGTGCGCGTGCAAAGCGCGTGCACGCGCGCGCACGCACGCGCATTGTAGAGACCTAACTGCGAAAAGCCCCGCGCACGCACGATTCCCCCGGTGGCAATCGTCGTCGGTCGTGATCGTCGCGGCGAAAAAGAGCCACAACGGGAACGCTTTTATAAAGACCCTTTCGCCGGAGTCTCCGGTGGAACGAGGAATAAAGTAGCCACGGCAGGGCTCGCACGTGGCCCCCATGCTCCCATCAAGCTAATTGACTGCGCCGATGATCCCCCCCCCCCCGCCACGCTCCCCTCGCTATCGCTCTTGAATGAGCTATTGCATAATTGATACGGGTGGGGGACATTGTATCCACGTCGAAAGGTAGGGAGAGGGGCACTTTTTTTTGTGGTGTTGGTTTTTTTCGGGGGGTGGGTTTTTATTGTCAACGTGTAATAGAAAGTTATTCGCATGATGCGCTGTAGCTCGTGTTTAAAAACACGTGTCAAGCGATCAAACTGAATATTTCATAATACCCCAAGTTTGACGTCGCCTGTTGTAGCCACTGAGCATGTCGGAGCCAATGAGCCGCTAACGCTGAAATTCTGGGTTTGAATTCTGGCCTCCTAGCCACCTTGTACGGTGAACGAGATTCCAAATGTGTCGTTAGTTTTGGCGGTCTCAGTCTGGACTAAGACATTCTTAGCTGGGATCCTGGACTCGAGCCACGAGGCTGTGTACTCGAGACTGTGTTGGTACAAAGATAACATCGCAAATACGTGCATTTTGGCTCTTTTGGTTAGTTCAGTTTCTATTGCGGTTCGATTCGATGATGGACATGGATGTGTAGGAAATATTTTACTTGTGGGGACACTGTTCCAATAAATTAAACCGTGTGATTGTGTGTGGGATTAGATGCCAAAATTCTAGCCTCTTGCATTGAGGTCAATATTCTACAACATCCAGGCAATGGTTTTCGATATTATTTTTTTCTCTTTCAGAATCTCATTACGACTATGTATACTTTTTGGTGATAGAGCAACTTTTACGAAACCCAGCTCGCTCGTATTTTTGGTTGGCCTCAAATTCATCTGTTTCCAATGATATTTGCGAAAGGGAACATCAGAGACGAATGGTTCTAATAATCCAAGTCCGTTTCACCTCCCTCTTTTAATAGAAACATGATCGAGGGATATTCCCGTTACGTAAACGTTCAGTAAATGTCTCGTAATTTTGTTCTGGTCCTGCCGCCTTGGTGACATCCGCAGTTGTTACTTTCAGTCCAGGAGTTTTCCCTTTTTCACACTGTGAAGCGCATTTTTCAAATGTGATATTTGGAAATTCTTAATTTAAAAAGTGGTTTTGTTCCTGGGATATACAATTATATTTTATAGAGTTCTACGTTTAATTCCTCCACTGATATTAAAATGATTACTTTATTGTGTGTTATGGTTACATCTTTCTCCCTGAGGGCTACCATTTGTAAGTTACCAATGATACTTTATGCTGCTTTCATGCTCCTATTTCTATGATGTCCTCATTTATATTTCGTGTTGTGTTCTATGGCGAACTTCCTCACCATTTCCCTCATCAATTTCAGCGTTCTGTGTTTTCATTCTAACTTGCATATTTGTCTACTTTGATATCTCCTCTACGTTGTCGTGGATTTTCGTGGTTGATTCGGTGGCTACTGATGGAGTCATCCAAACTCACAAACCAAGGGCTATCAAAGAAATGTTTTCGAAACTATAATATTTTTTTACATCAATGGAAGAGCTTCACGAGACGAAATGAAGAGTGGAACAAAACAGACATAGCAGGACTCGGTGAAGGGGGTGGAAAATTGAGCAATTTTCGAATATGGACTGTAGAAATAAAGGCATGAACATTAACTAGAGAAAATATATACACCATCTCAGATTTTCTGATGACTGTGATAGTGACGGAATTGTTTAACTGGAGGAAATTATGTTTCAATTGTGATAAAGAAGGCTGTAAAGTTTGCAGGTAATTTCGACCAAAATAAAGTGACGTGCAACAGGTTTAATAAATAAATGACAACGTCTGTTGGAGGGACACAACTGTAAACAAAACTCACCTCAGAGTATGTAGCGTATACCCATGGCACTTATTGAAGGCGGACAAGGATCAAAACTGTTAACTGAAAAGACGGGTAAGAGAAAGTTGGAGTGATTTCATATTACTGAACTGGCGATTAAAACCCCCACTTACCACTGGCTAAGGAAGGACGTATTTAATCAGTGGATATGACCGACCACAACATTGATCTAACACAGTGGTTCTTAACCTTTACTGCAGCCTTGCACCCCTTTGGTTCTCAATCGTACAAAAAAATATTATCATGTTAATAGGTTTGATGACACAAAGTAGTTGTACTTAGGTGCCCATGCTTAATTTGTGTTTCGATGATTTACCTTCTAAAAAAAATCCGACCACGTCTCGCACCCCCAGAAAGGGCATCTCTCACCCCCAGGGGATGCGTACACCCCAGATTAAGAAGAACCACTGCTCTACTACATAGACATCTGCAATAAGCGCGCAAAGAAGCGTGGAGAGGTGCATGGCTGGAAATACGCTGAGACACGGCGAGGAACACATGCACCAGAGAACATACAAACTTGGAGACGTATTGAGAGTCAAGTAAAGTAAGAGGCCATATGTAGGAACATCGCTAGTGGGGATTATGATGATGGGTGGTCGAGACTAACAAAGAAGTGGCAGCCAATGGAGGCATGAAGGTCGAAAGGATTCCCACCGTGAAGATGAAGCAATGACATCGGCTAAATGGATTGTCGCTTCCTTTAAAAGATTAGGGATGGTATTGACTTGGGTAGGTTTTCATCCAGCAGTGGATACCGCATGGCTGAGATGTATTGATGTTGGGGCTGTAGTCTCTCTGATTAATGAACCCATAGTTTAATTGTAATTCTTATCCGTAGATCGTTTTTGGAAATTCACCGCATCCCTTTTGTCAGGTTCGATTCCAGCTCAAATCACAGATAAATACTACAGGATGTTATATTTGTATCAATGCTATACAATTTTAGTTCACAATTTGGAAAACGTGGACTATAATTTTTGCCGGAAAACGCATATGACCTTGAGGATAAGGTTCGCACGGTGTTCCAAATCCAGCTCACAAACAGGAAAAATAATGAAGAGTTATTACTTTTGTGAACATAACTATTCTACCTGCTGTATATCTTCATTGCACTACGAGCCAATCATCGGACATGCAATAGACACTGACATGACCATACACATGAGCGTGTTGCTACATGCGGTTACACGCGTGCGTTTTACGTGTACAAATGTACGTCTGAACCGGTGTTGGGCATCGCCTAGGTAGATTCGGCCTTAAACGAGTACCTGGTGCGGTGTGTAAACATCAGCACTTGGGAGATTTAAAAACAAAAAGTGGCCAGGTGTGGCGCTGGCCACACCTGCCCGAACGTGCGGCCTTCACGAGTTGTTCCGCTATCAGCGCTCGCCCCAACCGTCTACATGGTGATTTATGGCAGATCTTGATACGTTTGTGTACGCTACGTGATGTGTGTTAGCAAAGCAGACATTAAAGATCCTGTGTGGCATCGTTCACAAGAGCCCACCAAACCATTACACAGAAATATAAATAAATAAAATGCCCGTCACCGTTACCAAAAAAAAAAATACCATACGTGTAATAAATCCGAATAAAAGTGTGTGGGGGGGGGTCTCACCTGGTTAAATAAAGGCGCGGCTCACGCAGGCAGGGCGGTGATGATGTGCTTACACGTCGCGCTGGCAGCATCCGTCAGTCGAGCAGCGATCGCGCAGGGCGGGTTTGGTGACCCGCGCGCACGCGGCCTGCAGCTGGCTCAGGTGCAGCGATGAGCGAGCGGCTACCTACGTAACCTCCCCCCCCCCACACACACACAGTTCGTACCCCCCCACACCTCTCTCTCTCTCCCTCCGCCGACCCCACGCTACATTCTGACGGTCGACCATTTACGCACGGGACAAAAAGCCCCTTTATTTAAACGCCCAG